TAGTGTATTAACAAACTATAGACATCCTAGGCGTCTCTTAGTCTTATAAACATAAATATCAGCATAAAGGAATCTCTACCGTGATTCCAGTTCGATACACTTTAATATAAACAAAGTGGACCAAGCGTAAACATTCCCTTCGATACTCCTATACCTTTACTTCGAATTCAAGTCTTTATAATAAACACATAATGATCGTTACACGTACATTCGTAATCGATCATCTTTTTCATATAAACAAATGCATAGGAATTTGTCCCGGTCTTATAATAAACAAAACCACCGATTCCCGTGGAAACGCTTAATCATCAATATATACAAACCCTACTCCCGATCACAACTCCCACCCCGTATTAATAAGAATTAACTTTGTAAGTAGAATAAGTATTTAGAATTAGTTTCAGTAAAACGTTAATATGATGAGCATAGTCTCAGTAAAACCTTCAGACTGAAAGAGTCTTAGTCAATCTTTGAAAGTATCTACATTGTATTGGAAAAGACCCCAAGAGTACCAATTATAATAAACTTGTTTTAAACCAATTGAATTACTTAATTCCTACAACTGAGACTCCACAACTACAACACCAGACAATATTCCACTGTGTCCAGAATTCCATCTCTGGGACACGACAGTCTATTATTTGAAACTGGTACCAGACACTATGTCAAAATCCCGACTACCATAATCCCATTTTGACATAGTTGGGATTTCGATATAGTCGGGATTTTGATTGTCGGGATCATGATAGTCGAGATTTCGATACAGTCGGGATTTTGAACGTCGAGATTTCAATAGACGATCTTTCGGTCCTTGCGATACAGACTTGCGATATATACCCGATAATTTTCACTATTATTTTTTATAAAACTTTTTCAATGCCATTTAATAAAATGGTGATTATATGATTGTTTCTATAGTTTCGGAAAAAAACTTATTTAATTTTGTCTTTCTTTTCATTGCTAACAATGTTTTCTAAAAAAAATCAATAAATATAATTAGGACAGAGAGACCTAATAGCCCTGCAGCAGATGAATTTTATTTTTATTGTTGTAATTAGTTTTTTTATCATTATTATTTTTCATTAAATTTTATGTCTTGTGGATGCTAGGTCATTCTTAATTACGAACATTGGTAATTTATAGTTATTTTAGTTCTAGGTAGATTAAATATTTTTTTATGTCGTGTAATTTTATTTAGATGAACGATGAACGATGGCCCTATTGCTGCAAGCACCGCGAGGGCTCACAAAGGACCTGGCTTGAAATATTTGAACCTGTGACCACTGACACGTGGGTTTTGCGACTTAACCATTCGGCTATTAGTCGCCCGTAGATTAAATATGACTAATTTTTCTTAAATTATTATCTTATTATGTATCTTCAATAAGTATTTGTATCTTAACTTGACAGAAACCAACACAATATTTCTGAACTTAACATATATTATTCAATATTTCAAATAAATTTAACATAATTGAAAATTAACAAAAAGAAAAAAAAATACTGGATTTTTCATCCGTTTTACGATCATGTTTATAAAAAAGGCGTTCAGTAAAAACATCTTGACTTGTTTTTTTGAAAGTCTTTCTTTGGTAACACGACAGCAAAACGTGATTTTTGAATCTCAGACCAAAAATAAAAAAACATGGTCCCTCGTCAATCTACCAAGGTCATCTAGGTAACAAATTCTTCAAGAATCATGGACCAACAGTTGTATTTGTGCTCCAAAATGTAAATTGTAAACACGTTGCGTGCGATCTACACTAGAGTGTAAATATTTTAATAATAGTCTTATTTCGCCAACCAAAAAAAAATACATGCTAAAAATGTAGACCACACGCTATATAGTAACACCATTTTTTATATTGAAGTAATTACACAAGATTAATTTACGTCTACCTAAGATTAGCACAGATTGCCCGACTTTGAGTATATACTTTGATTTTTTGTTACACCTGTGATCATGTCTAAAAAATCGTCGGTTCAAATCCTGGACAAGCCAGGCCCTTTGTGAGCCCTCTCGGTGCTTACAGTCATCGTTCGTCATGAATGGATAGTCAAATGAAAGAGATTCAGAATATGGACCTTGAGCCAAGTCGATGGACAGTGACAGCAGATACACAGACAGAAAAAATAGTGGAATCGCAGAGTATCAAGAAGTTAACCTACAAGAGGACAGCCAACCAAACCAACAAATTACAGAAGAATATAATGGTAAAAACTTCCATTGGGAAGTTACCAAAAAAGAAATGTCTACCGCCATTAGATTTAATTAATATTCGCAGGAATAAGATTGTAAATTAAATATACTGTGACATAATATTATTAATAATAATAAAATAAAAGTATGAATTAAAAATGACATGAATTATTGAACCGTCGGTTGAAATATGTTTTATATAATTTTATTCCCTGTTGATAATCATAATCTTAAAAAAACATTTGTAAATTTAGTTTTTTTAGACATCTTTCAACATATTTTTTTTAGGTATTGGAACACCACAACTAATTATGTGATGAGATTAGCATCAGTTATATATAAAAACTACAAAAGTATAGATTTAAAAATAAATAAACGTATTTGTAATATAAATTAAATAGAGGACATTAGTTATGTCTCATCAGCAAATGAATAAATTACAGTCTGGTTTAATGATAGTTACTGAAACATGTAGAAATAATTAAACATAAAAAATCTGTATTTACTTTCATTTCATGTCTCCCAGAATTTACGTAAAAAATGGTTTTCGTTTATTGACGAAATCTGTTGCGTTAGACCTGCGTCTATGTCGCATCATTTAAAACCGAATTTTATCGCCTCCATTCATTAGGGTCTAAAAATATCGCATTTCGCAAATTATTTAGCTATTGCTAATTGACTAAAATTTGCACAGTTCGGGTCTATATTTAGGTAGACGTTTACCCGAAATAGATTTCTTCTGTCCCATTAATATAGACAACAATTAGAAGTGTGCGATAAATATTGATATTGTCAATTGACGGACGGCGTAGGAAGAATCCACACGGACACGGCGAAATCAAATCCACGAGCAAACAGAGTGTGGTCGTAATAAGGTGTAAATTGCCACCACGAGTCGATTTAATGATACACTTTTTTTCATTTTACGCCGATTCCATATTTCCTGTTCGTTGCGTAACAACGAGGATGAAGATTTAATCCTGGGTCGATTAATAAACATAAAAAAAGCAGAGTGCTATTTCTAGAACGCCTTTAATTGTACCTTCCAGGTAAACAACTACAATAGATGTGGTTCGATATTATCAAGAATATAATGTAATCTTTTTAATCTCTAATAGGGAATTAACTATTAGTGACAACACCAATTTACTGTATATATTACTTGAAATCATTTTTTTTTTTGTAAATATTATATATAATTAAAATCAATATTAAATATTTAAGTTTAATAATTAAGTCTAACCGGGAACCAAAATTAACCGGATTTCTTTAACAAAACCTGAACGTAAAATTGCTCAATTGAAAAACCGAAACATCTGAAATGGTACACAAGTCTTATAATTTAAGTTTTAATAAAATATTATTTAATGTATAAATAAAATTGATTGGCCAGATTATAGAAAAAATAATATCTGAAATCAAAAAGAATAAAAAATAAAACAAAATAATATAAATTATAAAATAAACTCTGAAAAAAAAAGATATATCCCATTTATATATAGTTATAAATGGGATACAGCTATCCAAAGATCTAACGACCTTAATTGATGGGGTGGATGCATCTATTTTGATTTTGGATACAAGAGATCGTTTGTCGATTTTTAAAACCCGTTTGTGGAAAGCCGATTTTTTGAAGAAATTTATAAAATTCGGTTTTTGATCCTAGACTTAAAAAATAAAAATCAATTATTTGATTAAAAAACATATTTTGACACATAATCGCATATACTGGAGACATTATCATAAACTCAAGTAATGGAGCGCTGACCGATACAATAACTGTTTGTATACTCAACTACTCTTCGCCAAAAGTGTCCATTACATTGGTATCTAGTAATGAATAGGACGTTTTTGTGCAAGAGAATATTGTCAATTTCTGCAAATTTTCTATCTGTTTGAGCAATAGATTTATAGACATTCGTTCCTTTTTAAAATAAGAAATAAAATAATATTTTATTTAGATAAATATGTCTGTTATTTGTTTATCTGTATGGTTTTCTATGGAGTAAATTTGATTTTGTTATAGTTTTATGTAATATTTGTTTTTGAGATTTTATTTTCTTATTATATTAAATTTTGTATAAACTTAAATAAAAACAAAATAAATTGTAAAAATCCTATTTTTTGGGGAAAAATACTCTATAACAAGTAAATAACTAATTTATTTTTACCACCTTCTTCATAAGTATACAGGTCCGTTGTTTTGACATGTCTCTAAATATATTTTGATATTTACTCTTTATCGCTATACTATATTTGCTTCTGAGATTTTCCTACCTCGAGATTAGTGTTTACTATATAAATATATTAAGAGTTTGTATTCTATATGAAATAAATGATTACTTAACTTTAACCTACCAAAATTAAGATAGACAAAAAATACAAAATTTTCTTGAAAATAGTTTTTTTCCCAAAATGTAAATCATGGATTCTTGTCAACATCAACAATTATATATTAACTCGATAAAAATTGTTAATTCCACTTGATTATATAAATTTTGATATTTTATATTAATAATTACTATTATCGATTACATTGTCAATTATAGTAAAAACAAACTAACTATGTGGCTATAGTCGTATCACGAAAATCCGATACGAAAAAGTTGATTTGATCTTCAAAAACCAACAAAAATTTGTTGGGACCCATAAACCCGAAAAGGTGTAGAAAAGGGGCTAAAAAACTTTTGTTATATGTAATTATTTTTAACAATATCACATTTTATACATTTATACATTTAAATATATAAATTAACAATAAATAGTAAACAAAACATAATTTAGAAAAATATATGCATCCTACTAAACACTTTATGGACTTCCAAGACACTTGTAAACATCCGCGATTTTCATATCTATTTTTTCCAAATATTCATCTAAAGGACACAATTCATTGACAGCATCGAAATCACTGATGCTTCCCAATACATCTTCAGTTTTTTTAGAAATAGCATCCAATAAATATTCTTTCTTTTCATTCATTTTTGTCAACATTTTATCTTGGCACATCAAGATACATTTATCTATACCTTTTTTAATATCTTGCAACGTATCTTCAATCTCAATTCTTACTTCCCAAAATTGGTTATCACATAACGTTTTAGTTATGACCGGCACTGTTTTAAAACACTGCCTAACCTCCGTTGATGAAATATCTTCCAACTCTGAAAAATATTCCTCTATATCTTCAATGCACTCTGTAACAGAAGTACCTAGATTCATAGCAATTTCTACAATTTGCCTAATTTTCTTCAAAGCTTCATCCAAAGACCTATCAATGGTATACATAGCATATTCATATTCGTCGTCTACTCTGATCTCGAAATATTTCATATTGTTATCTACAATATCAATATGTTCTGATAAATCTATGTCGACAGCGTCTTGTATCTTTGCTAATTCTTGTTTTAGTTTAGCTTTGCTTATAAATTTAGCTTCATAATATGATGATAATACCTGTAAATAAATATTTATTATTAAGATTTTAGTTTTCCTAAAAACTTACGTGAGGTATTGATGAAAATAATAAAAAGAAGTAAACCCATTTAAGTAAATTATCCATCATGTGCTCTTAATTACTACTCGATTCGTTCAAAACTAATTTAAATCTAATAAATATGTATCAAATTGACTTCCTTGAATTTAAAGATTATGAATCTATCTAATCTTCATTTAGATACTGAGTAAACAAAATATGAATTATACATATTTTTTTACGAAAATCTGACAAAACAAAACAGATAATTCGAAAACTATTTATATTATATCAAATAGAATTTTATACATCTATTGTTTTTGACTTTTGCAATTTTTCGCAATAACTTATTTACTTGCGGTTTATTTTTAATTTTTAAATTTAATTCAGACCTAGAATTTCAAGTTTTTAAAGCACCAGGTCTCATAAAATATGTAACGATCTTTTGAATGATGTATGTCATTAAGAATGTAGAGCAATTTTGCAAATAATAATATTTAAATTCGGTATGCTAAGTTGTGAAAATATAGTTTATTTCCAAAATTAAAAAAAACTGAACTGGTTCATATCGTGAGGTAAATAAAACTTGAACAGTAGAGTCCAACGACCTTAAAATTTGATCTTTTTGAAATATCAATAAATAATATGTTTGTGTAGATTGTTAGTTCCAATAATATGAAGGTTACAGTTCACCGAGCTAGAAAACCTTTTTATTAACTAATTGGTTTACCTGCACGTTTATTCATGTAACGATAGATTTACATATTTAAATAATATTTTTTGTAGCATTGAAAATTGCATTTTGTAAATATGACCTTAAAACTATCTAAAAAACATTATTAGCGTGCATAGAGTGCACTCCTTTTTTTCTTTAGTACGTGCAAAAAAAATCAATTAGTAAATATTTATAGAGAGTTTTAATGAATTTGGGACAAGCGGATTTCGGGGTGAAGGTTCGTCGTATCGCCTTTTTTCTGTCCATACCACTCACGTAAAATAGATATGGTTCGTATCTTTTTTTTGGTCAATGCCAATAAGGACAGATCACTTCCGGCCTGGGCACAGCCTTCATCTTTTTTTAGCACGTTAGAGAGAATGTCCATCCATCTATCTCCTTCTTTCATATCAGATCGTTATTTTGTTTGGAACTGTAGCTGCTTGTCATTAAAGCGTGAACAGCTTTGCTTCCATTGTGTGATTCAATTAATGGCAGATCGGATTGTATAAAACCGAGTTGCAGAAGGATCGAAAGAGAAAGGGTGTGAGAATGGGAATTACGCGAAGAAGTGAAAAAATGCTTTTGTTGGGGGAACGAAAAAATCATGTAATAATGTATGAACCGTTTTGAATATTCATCGGCTAATTGCGGAAACCTTGCTGCCTTCTGTTTCTCTTCGTGTCTCGCAGCAAGGACAATCACTTCAAACGCATTTTCTCTCTTAGGAGACTTAATTAATTCCGATACGTTTTCTTTTTATTATTTCGTTGCTAATGTCTTTTCCTCCGGGTCTCTCATAATTGATGACTGAAAAATGTATTTTATCTGTTAGGATTTTCAATATAAAGGGTTACGTTCCGCATGACCTTTACGAGTAATCCTACTAAATATACATTTGCCATTTGCTTCAATAGATTGTATTTAATTTGTTGAAGAAATACATATTGCTTTCATCATTTGACGGATTTATTTTCTTCTTAAGCCATCTTCACGTTTGTTTCCAAGGTTGCAGAACATTAATATTATTACACGAAATGTGATTGTCTTAGCTTAATGAAGTAATTTAGATGTCTTTAGTGCATTCGCTTCAGTTAATTACAATAATAATCGCTAATTAAAAGATTAAACAATGCATTTCTTCGTTAATCGGGTCTGGGTCGGGAAAAATCATCTCTCGCTAATTAACGGAGTCTAATACTTGCTCTTGAATTAATCATAATTTATAGCGCTAAACATATAGTTTTAGAGCAATTATCGCTTAAAGTTAACACTTACTAATATGGATGGAAAATGTTAATACGTAAAATCGTTTACATTTTTTTGTCATGTTTATATTGATGTTCTTAATCAGCGAGACGTTCGTTCGAGTGTACTAATTGTTGATCCTTTGTTGCGATTGATGCGATAGCATTTGCTCGATTCTCCTAATCGAATCCAGATCGAGTCGGATAGCAACGCACGCTCTCCGATCCCTGTTTACGTTTTCAATCTCGCGTATTAGCATAAAACGTCGATTTAGGTTTTTGCTCAATCGGCTATAAATCGATACGTATCGATTTCATAAAATCGAAGCGCGTTAAAACTAAAAGAAACAAATGGAGAAAAATAATTGACGGGGAACTCTTGCGCTTAGGATAATTACATTTGCATGTGTGGAGACATAATTTATGCTTCGATGAGAAAATCTATGACCATATCCAGTAATGAAAGCGTAAATGGTGTATCAGAGCTATATGGAAAATGGTGAAGTAAATACTTAATATCTACTTTCTTTACATTTTCTCCTTAATGCTTATATAGCACCTCACTCAATAAGTTTGTAGGATGACTAATAAAATAACAACTTTTGGGCAATATTCAACTTTATTCATCAACATAGTCTTCAAGTGATACATTCATTCCAACACTTCTCTAACATTTCGATATCTTTCTTGTAGAACGATTTATCTTTGGCCTCAAAATACCCTTCAGTTTCGGCAATCCCTTATTCATTGGAGTCAAATCTTTCCCTTGGGCATTTTATTTATGTTTGCAAATAGGTAGTAGTCCCTGGGAGCCAGATCTGGAGAATACGGTGGATGGGGAAGCAATTCAAAGTGCATTGTCTTAGTGAAAGAGCTCTTTCATCTTCTTCGTTTGTGGTCGTTTTTTCGCAATTTCTTCCTTCATCACGGTTCTGGACCCGCACAAGACGGGTTAGGAGCCCGATAGAAGAGAAGTTTGCTGATCTGAGGTAGCAGAAGTCGGAGTTCTTCGTGTCCAGAAAAGGAAGTGTCGCCCAGAACCTTCCTACGTCAAGGACGTCAGATTTAATAATTTGCTTTTTCTTGTACGCGATCTCTCCCTGCTCACTATTACATACAATATATAATCACAGCAAAAACATAAGTCAAAAATATAAGTGACAATATAAAAAAAAATGTTGATGATTTGTACTATAAATGAATCTTACAAATAGATTTTTGATTATTCCCTTATTATTATAAATAATGGCAGTTCAAACATATATTTTTTTATATTATGTTTTTATATCGTGTCACAAAATATGTTAAATTTTATTAAAGAAAATATATGGTCGATAGTCCTTTGAAGTTATAGTAAATTTATAATGAAGCATACTAATAATACAATCGGCTATGGGTCGCAATCTTTTCATCTTATTTAATATCTATTTTTATGCATTTATGTTAATTTTGTTAATTATGAGGAAGAGAAAAATCTTTGGTAAACATATTATGTATATCTTACTAATAATTTCTTTATAAGTTTATAATTAAAAAATAGATTTATTTGCAATTTTAACAATGAAAATTCTGAATCCTTTGAAACAACAATAATTATATATTATTTAAAAAGCGTTATTGACTTTAATCATAATGTGATACATGTGCTGCAAATATAATCCAAATATAAGGAAGTTGATTTACTATACAACATATGCTGCGAATGAATATTGCACAGAAAAGATGGGAATAATAATATGTAATAAAAGATATGTCGAGATGAAGAAAATACGTGCTAACAACATATTCAAAGTATCCCAACAGCATATATTTAGGATACAATTTGCTACAGAAAATTGCTTTTGAAGCATTCCCTGTACTTAGTGCTACACCATTTCTTATAAAAAATAAAAAAACACCATTAAAATTATAAATTATTCTATTGCAAATATCACTCATCCTAATAATTCCTTATAACTTTCAATTTGTGCAGCCGTAATTAAGTAAAATACTTAAAATATACTTTACCAACTTAAATCTCCAAATATTAATCCTAATTTATTGAATAAATACACCAAAATACGATATCCTAAAATTCCTCTACACACTCCTCCTAATGATCTCCTTTACTCCAACCCCAAAATAGTCCAACATCACCTCCCTCTCTAAATTCTGTGTCCGTCGAAATATCCTTCCCAAATATAAATATCCCACATTATCCCTATTCCAATACCTAATGTCTCTCTGTTGATACCCACTTGTTCATACTTTGTATTGATGTCTGGCCAATAAATTATTATTATTAAATTGAATAAACAAACATTTCTTTTTGATGACATATCCACTTGACACTTTATATTAAATGTACGAAAGTCGTAGTTTAAAATATTACCGTAATTTCATATTTACATACTACGTAATATAAAATTAAATATATATTCATAGTTTGATAAAACAATAGTGATCTAATAGTATTATGTTTGAATCAGTGAAATAATTTATTTGTATTCAATACAAATTAAAATTGAATTGGCACAGAAAATAAAAAACAAACAGATTTTCAAATTTAAGTCATTGCAAATAGAATAGATGTCTAAGTCATAGAAATTCATCAATGCGCAATACTTTGAAATGATCTACTTACAATTACGGATATAGCAGAGAGAAAATTTAAACGATGTGCATAAAGAATCAATTAAAAAATATACGATGACAACAATAAAATGCTATGATTATATAAAAAACAAGAGCTTTAGTAAATAATTTTGAAATATAAGAAAATTGTAATTCTACTTTTAATAGCTAACAAAAAATAAGTAAATAGAATATTACTTTAGTACAGTAGAACCTGTTTTTGTGCCGACCTTTTCAATTTTTTTTGTGCGGTTTTTTTATGCGGTATATGAAATCCAACCAATTCCAACAGCGTTGGCACCTTTGTAATGTTTTCTATCAGTGTGCATATTACTATCAGTGTGCGTATCATCACAAGAAGATACGCGTTTTGGATTAAAATGAGAAAATTAATGTTTTTAAAATGTTTCCATTCGTAATTTAATTACTTATTTTGTTTATATGCACTTTCTCATGTATTTCGTAAATCTTTGACGTATTTTCGCTTAACAAGTTTAATCCGTTTCAAAATTTCCGGATTTTTACACGTATAATGAAACATATTCAAAAATACAGATAATATGTGTACACAAGTATAAAAAATGATGTAGCAGACGCTCTCATCGTCACTCGTTATACGAAACGTCGCTTGTTAAGCGAGTCATTTTGCTCGTTAAACGAGGCGCTCGTTAAGCAAGGTTCCACTGTATATATGTTTTAAATAGTGTGGGTTATTGGCGAAATCCGTTTGCCCGCACTATGCGAGCTGTACTTCTTTTCCCTAAATTTAGGAAAAATCCCAAATGTCCGGTTTCTAACTGTTAGAACCGATTACTCGAACTTAATTACGAACTATTGCTGTATTAAATAATTGTATCTATGTTTTGAGAGAAGTCAAATTAATTATTATTATAAATTATTTTTTAATAAAAATGTAATATCATGTGAATATATAATGTATCCACTCATGTATGATTTTCATCTGCAAACAAAAAGATATCATTTTTAAGATCTACATGACCTTTGGTCTTGTTGTAAATGTCCTCCATTTTTATTTAAGACAATCACTTTTAGATCTGATATAAACGATCTTAATATTATTATACTCCTTGGCTTCCATGCGGCATCTGAACTTACTTATACAATACATTTTTAATATTTTTAATGTTTACATGTATTTTAATAAATTTATTAAAAGTATTAGAAACATATAAAGCAGACAATTAACGAATATTCATTTGCTACAGAGATAATAATAGTGAAATGTAATAAAATTAACAAACTAAAACTTTACACGTTCCAAAAGTTTGATAATATTTTCGTTAATATTTTCAACCAGTCATATAATTGTTTGATAAGTTATCATCTACAAATACTAGTACCCGTGCGTTTCCATGAGAGACTCCTTTCTCCAATGTAATGACGCACATGGTTAATGTGCAATTGCCCGAGCAAATCTTTCATTTGAAATCGAGTACTTATTTTTAGTTCTTTTAAGGTTAGTGCCGTTAGCACATCTTATTGGCAAAACCCAAATGCGTTAAATCGTCAGGCAAATCCCATAACGCAATTAACAGTTGCGTATTTCTAGTATGCATTTCGCATAGAATCCCCTTGTTTAATCCGGTTAAATTACCTTCACACAAAATACTGCATGTAATTTCAAATGATATGCTTTCCAGTATTAACGTTATTGGTTTTAAATGATAATTTTATTAAGTCTTCATTCGTGATACTTATTTTTTATTTTTAGAGAAAGCGGTTAATGAAAATCATGTAAATATTATTGTAATTTTCTACACTACGTTTCATAACTGATTTTTTTTAAGTTATATAAGAGCATTTATAAACAGGAAAACTATCAAAACATCTGTTTTTTTTTATATAAATTATTCATATTTCAGTAGTCCAATTAAATCGTGTAGCTATAGTCAAATCACAGGGTAGCAGAAATAGGGTTGTAAGAGATATAAATATATAAAAAAAAATATATATAAAATCTCTTGAAAAATATAGTAAATAAATTATTTGATTCGCTTTCTGCTCGGTTAAATACCACAACTGCAAATAGATTTTAGAAATACAGTGGAACCTCGCTTAACGAGTTTAATCCGTTCCAAAATTTCCGGATTTTTACTCCTATAGTGAAATACTCGTATAGTGAAACATATTCAAAAATACACATAATAATGTGTACACAAGTTTTAAAAATGATGTAACAGGCGCGAAATTCGGGACTTCTCTTCTCATCGTCACTCGTTATGCGAAACGTCGTCATTTTTCTTACAATTTATTTTGCTTGTTAAGCGAAAAGCTCGAAAACGTAAATGCTTACGTTTTCTCATAGGCTGTAATCTTTTTAATATTTATCAAATAAAATAAATATGAAAATACTAAATAATATTATTGGCAACCAATTTAACTCTCTTCTTAAATGTATAGTACTCATGATACAACTATAGTATTCTATAATGTATTTTTATCCTATCTCTCAGAAATGTATTTACCCTTATTTGTTCATATTGAGAAAATATGATTAGTCTACAATAAAATAATGACATATGACGATACAAATATAATTGGATTATAATAAAAAAAATATTGTTAAAATATAACTTAATATAACATCATTGGACAGGATACAAGGGATACAAGTGAAGAGGAACCTCGCTTAACGAGGGCATAACGACCATTTCGCTTAACGAGCAATATAAATTGTAAGAAAAAAAACTCCAAAATGGAAGGCATTATAGTAAATTACATTAGTTCATTAGGCGAAAATTGTTTCACTATACCAGTAAAAATCCGGAAATTTTGTAAAGTTCCATTTCATAAAATAAATATATCAAGTTTTAAATAGGCAAGCAGCCAAAGAACACTGTTGTAACATTGGTTGCCAATTACGAAAAAGAAAGACTACAAAAAAAAGACGTATATTATTAAAATAGCATACTCAATCAAATGAAATTTGAAACATACATTTAAACTAATATAATTATATAAGATTATTGGACAATAAAATATTAGAGCAGTAGTGCTAGATGAGGCTAGATTTAACTAAAATCTTGACATTTTTGAAGAGGCGTGAGGGACAGAGGGAGGTATGATAATACAAACCAATCAATCCGTCCATTTGACATTTATTTTAGAAATAAAAATGTAGCAAAAAAGAACTGTATCACTTTAAAACCATAAATACAGCCAACTTGCAGTGTCATTGTCGTTAGTTTCGAAATGGCGTACACGGTCATTTTGTATGTAGCAAGTGCCTGCTTTATCTTATATGGAATCAGGAAGCACAGAGAAAGCAAGTGGGGAAAATGTAATAATAATGTTAAATTGAATGGCAGAATTGTTGTAATCACTGGAGCCAATAGTGGTATTGGTTATGAGACTACCAAAGAACTTTCTCGTAGAGGGGCACGTGTCATACTAGCCTGTAGAAGTAGTGAAAAAGCTGATGAGGCCATGAACAATATCAAAAAGGAATTGAACATGAATCCAAAATTGGTAAAGATCTTAATAAACAATATACTGATGTCATTAACAAACAACATTGTTTCTAGGAATTTATAGAATTGGATTTGTCATGTTTTCAATCAATACACTCTTTTACACAGGAAGTTATGAAGAAGTACAAGAGAATTGATATGCTGATTAATAATGCTGGTGTGTCATATCCGAAAACATCAAATTTAAAAACTACTGAAGGCTTTGAAATTCACATGGGGGTCAATTACTTGGGTCATGTTCTCTTGACTAATTTACTTTTGGATCATTTGAAAGAAGGTGATAAGCCTAAAATAATAAATGTTAGTTCATTGCTTCATCAAAAAGGAACTTTGGACTTGGAGGATCTTAATTATGAAAACAGACCCATTCAACGTGCATATGCTGACTCAAAGCTGGCCTTAACTTACTTTGGCCAAGAATTGGCAAAAAGGAATGCAGATGTTAATGTTTACAATCTTTGTCCTGGTTGGGTATACACCAATCTGTTTAGATATCACAAATACAACTTTTTCTATACTTTGATGGCTCTACCAATTGCTTTCTTTTTTATGCGGAGCAAGAAACAGGGAGCCGAGACTGTCATCTATTGCGCTACTGAGCCTAGATTGGACGCAGAGACTGGACAGTTTTATAGGAATTGCACTAAATTTAATTCTGCCTATCAATTTGATGATGAGACAGGCAGAGAATTGTGGGATGTTACTACAAAGATAATTCAAGAAAAACAGCAAGATTATTGATCGAAATTATTTAATAAAGATATTGTTAATAGATATTTCATATTTGTCATTCTATCTGTTTTTCTTAACAAACTATAGATAATGCAGTTTGTTGAGTCTAAACAAAACAAAAACTCTAAAACAATAAATTAATGTACTTGATAAATCTTAGTACCTAATTGGCAGCCTTTTTAAAATTGAATAAAATTTGTTATATCATAAAAAATATCATCAATGTCAACATTTAAGATATTGATAACCCTATAAATCTGGAAATTAATCTGGATGCGTTTACGCATTGTACTGCCTTTTGAACCTAGTGGGGCATTATTATAATGTTCTAAAAAAAATACCAGGAAAGAGGAATTTTCCTTTAATTTGGTTGATATGTCTATGAATGAATTTTGATAAGCCATACTGTCCCATGTTGACTACAAATTTCTTGTTAGAAATTTAAAGAGTTTCAAAGAATTAAAGGGGTCATTTTAGCAATTAATTTTTGGAAAATATGTAAAGATTATTTAAAAATATATTTAACATATGTATAATCATACTTCAGTTAACGTGATAACGAAGTTCGAATACATTGATAAACAAATATGGACAAAAGTTGAATTAGAAGAAGAAAATAACTTCCAAGAAATTACAAATAATATTATCCAGATAACTCAATCAATATGTAATCAATTTACAATTTTAAGTATAATCAATGTTCAATTAGTTGCCTAAATGAATTTCCATTACTTTTTACCAAATTACATTATTTGCGTGTGTTGTGTTGCGTATGCGCATATTATATGTCAGTGTCAGCTGTAAGGATGTAAATACATAGTCGAGTGTAGAGCGCCGATTTAGTAGAAAGTCCAGAAGTCAATAAGTGTTGATGAGTGGTAATAGTATTTAACTACGATGATTATATTCTGATAAGTTATACTCAGTGTTAAGCAATAAATCGAGTGTGAAGCAAGTACATTTTGTAGACCTACAAATTATATCTCTCTTATTTTAACCAAGTTTTTAAGAATAAATAAAAATGGTTTTAAGCAAGTTAGCCCCTATTGGGGTCTCATGCCAGGAGTATGTACATCCATGGACAAGCAGTTGCTCTCAGGCAACTTGTGGCCTTTACCTATGGGCCCTGGGAGATGCATTAAGGGTTTATTCTACTGTATACATTGTAAGCAATAAATACTATTAGAAAGTTCAATTTCACATTTTCTTATTTTTAGTTAGCTTTAGTCATGAAAGGCAAGATTCCCACACTGGATGAACTGAAAAAGACAATTAAAGGAATTCTGCAATCAACTGCTTTCCTTAGTGTGAATGCATTTGGATATTCAGGATTCTTATGTATTCTCAGGTACTGGACTTGACCAATGCTTGAAGACAGTAGTTATTAAACTTACATTTTCAGAGCTGTGTTGGGACATTTTAATGTCTATACTGTTTCTGGTCTTCCTGCGTTTTTGGCAAGTATATTTGCCATACTCATTGAAAGGCCTTCCAGGCGTCTTATGCTAGCGTTGTACGTAAGCAACGTAGCCACTGAAACTGTCTGGAATATGCTGCTGTACCGGAACATGGTTAAATCCGTGAAAAACGGACAGGTCGCTATTTTCGCAGGAAGTATGGCAATACTTCTAGCTGTTTTCAAAGCGGGTCTTCACAAGAAAGACGGCAAATCCGATTCAATGTTTAATATATTCAAGTATGAGGAAATAATCTATTTATTTTTGCTTTCTTCATCATATACTTGCTTTAGGTTTGTGTTGGGACCTTATGAAGAAAAGGATTATAATGTTAGATCTAGTCAATCGAACAATATCTGCAGACAAGACGATCAAAACGGGGACGCTTCTTCCAATAACGGCAGATGGCCGACGAATAATACCAATAATAATCGTAAAAAGGGTAATGCGATTTACGGTCTAATAGTGCAAGCCCTTAAGATTTACAAAAGGACGGTGCATCGGATCAAGTGTTGTGATAGACATAGCCTTTGCCCGCATCCGTTTAGCTGCATATACTACACAGTTCAAGTGAGTATACAATATATTTTTTAACAATGCTCTCAAATCCAAATAACCAGTTATTGCTTGCTTTATATACTTTACATATTAATTGCGTAAACTTGACATTTTTGACGATACTCTCGTATCCAAGTTTTGCAATAGTAATTAAAAATTATTATTTTTATGGTATAATTCTTTAAATTGCTTTTGTTCTGCAATAAAATAAGAGTAAAACCGGTTTACTTTATTTATTATTGCTCACGAATTTAACCAAATTATGTTTGTACAGTGATTACAATTCTTTTAGACGATAACTGAAATAGATATATGTCGTAATACATGACTATATTTATCAATGGCATTTATAAAAATTCACATAGATAACCGTTTCGAAACAATTAAATTTCATTGATGCGATCAATTAGTGATATGGTCACTGTGATCATACCAATCAAGTGTGACCCAAATCACGCTCAATTTTCATCAGAAAAATCAAAGTCATCACTATAGATTATATAAAAAAATATGGAGAGTAAAAAGAACGCACGAGATGCGATACAAACGAGTTTATTTACTCTAAATATTCGATCATTTAAAACTAATTAACACTTCGAATAATCGACTTGGCGTTAATTATTTTTCATATATATTCAATTTATGCTTATGTAAACTTATGTATAAATTAAACGATTTTAAAACTGAAAATGAAATTATTGCAAAACTTTGGTTTACATTTTAAACAATTTTCTCTTACGCAGAAAGAGCATTGTTTATAAATTGAATAAATCCAGTTCAAAGATCATGTATAATTTCTTTAACAATAACTATTTCCGCTTTGATTTCTTTCATTTCCAGGGCAGCGCAAAAATGTTTTCTGTTGGACTGGGCTTGCAATTGGCGCTCAAGGTTGTTCTAAACCTGAAGACCATTTTTAGATCACCTCAGAAACTCGGAGATATCGTCTTCCAAAGGAAGAACCTGAACATCGCGGCGTTTTTGGGTGGAGCTTCCGGCTTATTCAGAGTGAGTACTCTTATCTATTGATTTTGAAGAATCAAAATCCGGTGTTGTGATATTTTTTTATCGTAAATACTTGAAACTAATTGATGAAATATTGTGTGAGCGTTTTTTTTTTGTCTTCAAGGATATTTAGTTACATTACTTTAATTCCGCACTTTGTGCTTAGTAACATTATGCAACAGAAATATACTGCTACAATAATGTCAACGTATTAACAATATTCTATTTATAAAATATTATTAATTTTTGTTTCTAACTGCAAAACACATTTTATATTCTTTTGTTATATAATTCAAATTTTAGAATAATTAATCTAAAATTTGCTATACCGCACCTGTTATATATTAGATTTTTATAATTTTCTTCAAAAGCAGTCCGAATAATATTTTGGTACGACAAATATTTGAAGTTACGCCACTGGATTTTACCAATGTGTATAAATTTCACATAAAATTGTCTTTGAAATGCAACATGACAGCATGAATGCAACGAGACATGATTAATTAATTTATTATTGCATGAATTTAAACTGCTTTAATAAGATAATTTAGAGATACAATTTATGGTTCGTACACATTCCTTAATGTTACAAAACTAGTTTGTTTCTTACGTTGCATTTGCTTCTAAAACATTTAATTAATTAATGTTTGTTTTTGCCAAATGAATCGTAAAGTTGTAAAAAAATATAGAATATATTTCATAATATAAAGTACATTATTAAAACTACGTTTTTATTGAATTGTTCTGCTTTTTTATTTGTTTTTGCAAATTGCTATTTTTTTCTCTTAATACTTATATTTCCATAGTAATTGCAATTGTTCATATTGCATACTTAGAAATGACCTTTGCATGTTTTGTATTACAGCACCACAATGTTTATGACGTCAAATTATTCAATATTTTTCTATTTAAAAACAGAAATTCTATGAAAATCTTATATAGCTTCAAGAAAATAAATGTTTTCATTCTATTTTAAGTTCAGCGTAAATCAATACTACTTTATCGCATTAAATGCGAGTGCAAATACGCATTTCGCACTTATTTTTTTTTGCTTTGTACTTGACGCTTTTTAAATTGATCATATATTTAAGGATTAGATTCGAGCAACTTTCTATTTACTTTTCATATCTCCAATATCAACTAACGCATATACTACGCATTTTACAGTTTAAATTTTTTTTATACGTTCAATTTTCTGAGAAACAATATAGTGTACTTCAAATTTATTTTGAAATAAGTTATTTTATTACATACTTTCTTTTCAAAATATTATTATTATTGTTACTAAGGACATTAATTAAATTTATTAAGTATTAAAAAGGTCTAAATTTCTTGTTTAATTTATCACATTCTAAAATCATCAATGCAAATAAAGAATTATTATAGTACACATTATATTAATTTTTTCATTCATATTTTTCTATATTAATACTACAGTGGAACCTCGCGAGTTTAATCCATTCCAAAATTTCCAGATTTTTGACTCGTATAGTGAAACACGTTTTCCCATGCAAGTGTTATTAAATTTTGCACAAAAAAAACACAAATAATATGTTTGGAACACAAGTTTGGAAATTTTGTGATCACAAACAACACTAAGGTACAAGAAGAATGACCACTAACACTAGGAACTGTTTTCCAATTCACACACAGTGAAGTGAGTTTATATTACTTGTATCAATGCGGGAACTTGGTGAAGGTCTCTTTATACTTTTAATATTTTGTTTATATAAAAAGCGTACTTAGTGTGTTTATATATTATAATAATGGTTGGACACAATACATTTGTGTTTTGCACTTATAGCAAACAAATTATATTTTCAAAGTATAGACCGCTTTAAACAAAGATGACTAAGAAAATCGAAGATGGTTAATATATTCAAAAATACACAAGTTTTAAAAATGATGTAACAGGCGCGCAATCCAGGAATTCTTTTCTCATTGTCACTCGTTATGCGAAACGTCGCTTGTTAAGCGAGTCATTTTTCTTACAATTCATTTTTATCGTTAAGCGAAATGCTCGATATGCGAGGTGCTCGTTAAGCGAGGTTCCACTGTATTGACATTTAATGTTTACCTTTGCTTAAAAATTCAATATGAAATATTAAATCATAAAACTATTTATTAAATCGTACATTATTCGCCAAATATAATTTTGAGAAACAAGGAAATTTATTATATAAATTATACATTTTAGAGAATCTTAAACTTGCTGCAAGACTTTTATAAAATTGTTATTGTGACATTATTAGAACAACAATACTACTGCGTTAAAAAATATTTTTACAAATGCATTCGTTATATTGTAACAAAGGTCACAGACAAATATAAATGCATACATTGTTTTTTTCTACACAGAACTATCATTAAGAGATAAACAAATACTCCTTAATCATGTAAACTTTAAGAGTGCATGAACTAAGTCTATAATTAAGATTACATATATATAGTGCTTAGATCGCAAAAAAAAGCGGCTATAGGTCATTTCATATTAGATAATAGTGTTATTTCATGTTAGATAACAGTATATAAATATAGTTTCGAGTACGCAAAAGACAAGACAAGTCATTTACTTTGGAATAACTTGTTACAACAACAACAATAATGGACAACTGTCATTAAGAAATGAACAAATACTCCTTAATCATGTAAACTGTGAGAGTGCATTAAATAAGTTTATAATTACATATACATAGCCTAGTGGTTATAAGTCGCCTGTATTATAAAGCAACAAATGTTGTGAGGGCCGATAAGCATCGAAAATGTGGCCAAGCTATTTATATAACAATAATTATTGATATAAATGTTTCAAAAAAATACAAATATATTGTTTAGATTGCAAAATGAGGTCATTTCATAATAGATACTGTTAAGTTGTATATTAGATTATAATGCATATATATATATATAAATATAATTTATTATAAGCTAAAAACAGACAAAAAAATTTGTTACTTTGTGAAATAACCTGTAACAAAACTTCTATTAATATTCCTTGGTCGGAAAGACTTTGGTAGATAGTCTTTTGATCATAATTGTGGCCAATAAATATGTTTAATAATTGTTTTTGTCAACAAATTTGTTTTTTTTTTTAATATTATATATTTTGTCGAATGCTATTATATATATCAGCTTATCAATTGCACTTGAATTGTACCAAAGTCCAAAAATTTATTTGTTCACGTCTATTGCTGAGTAATCGACGACTTCGTATGAAGCTTTTTTTTCTAAAGTTAAAAAGGTTTTTGGAATTTCAGCACATAAAAATGCCAAGTCTAAAGATCTCATATTTCTCATATTCAAATAATAGTTGAAACGGTTATATTTTTTTTAAATCGGATATTTACATACTTCATCAATATTTTCTTAATCTTTATTAAAAAACAGGTAGTTTAAAATTATAAATTGTATTATAAAGTGTGTCCCAAAATTAATGCAAGATTTGAATTAAATAGAAAATAGGTATTGGAATAGGGATATTTAAATTTGGGAAGGATATTTGGGTTTTGAGGGACACAGAATTTAGAGAGGGAGGCTATGTTGGACTGTTTGGATTTAAATTTTCAAGGAGAGGGACTGGTATCGATATATCCAATTTTCTATAAAAAATTGAAAATAAATCAAAAATAAACTCAAATATTTTGTTTTATTATGAAATTTTTATAATTATTTTCATTTTATTTTTTATATACTTTAAATTTATCTTATGTTCTATTATATGGCTAAAAAATTATGGTTATTATTATAAGCGAATATGTTAAAATTTTATTTTAAAGTGTCAGTCGCCGAGTTGACCGTCGCTCAGTTGTCGCGTATCCATATTTAGTAGATCAATAATTTCTAAATTAAGAATTCTGCGTAAAAATAACCGGTTAGAATGATTAACCATTGCTGTATTTTGTATATAAAATTTTGGTTTGTCATTTACAAAAATATAGTTTGAAATTTGCATTTTTTGTGTTAGATGACGATGTGTGCTTTGCGAAGGATAACAGGTAAAGACGACGCCATCCACGCGCTTCCAGCAGGTCTTATCGCAGGTTTAGCCTTCTTCAAATATCCTGACACGACGATCGCACTCTACGTCTTCTGGAAAATGCTGCAAATCATGTACAACCTTGGAATTGATATGGGTTTTCTGCCGAAGATTCCCGGATTCACTAATTTCCTATATTGCCTCAGCACTGCAATCCTCTTCCATGCGGCAATCGTAGAACCAACAAATCTCAGGGGCAGTTACTGGAAGTTCCTGCATTCCATGTCCGGTGGAAGGTGACAAAAAAGAAATAAATTTTCAAAATATTTCTTTATAATATCGTTTTTATTTATTTTCTCAGAATCGCAGTAATGGATCGTAAAGCTATGGACATTTGGGGATTGGATACGTCAGAAAGTTTGCTGAAAGTATTAGGAAAGACGAAGACGAAAGCAGCCCTGTCATGGCATTTAGTTCAATAACTCTGTCCAACAATTAACCAATTTTATTTTGAAATGTTTTTAGACAATTTATTTTTCGTTATTTTATTATTTTTTTAAGTTGAATATTTCCGAGTCAGTACAAAGTTTTAAATTCAACATTCGCGCGCTTTATCATCGAAGTAGGTCTTCCGACGGAAGAAAAGAAAAATATTTCTTATAGAAACTGGATGAAACAGATGCCAATTTTATTACTTTGTTATTTTTATTGTTATTATTTGAATACTGGTGCTAATATAGTTACCATTTTTAAACGCACAAAGTTGCACTTAAATAATTATTGTAGTTTGAAAATGCCTAGTCTTAAAGTTAAATCATCGGTATCTACATTCCTTCTATTTTCGGTATATTGTTAAATAATTGTAACGAGATTACATGTTAAAGAAAAAAAAGACATAATCAATTTGCCGCATATTGAAGAAAATATTGTATTTATTATTAAAAGGTTATTTCCGTGGGAAAAACGCCGATCGCATATTTTTCGAACAATGATGTTTCTGTAACAGAGTGTACAAAAAGAAAACAACATTTTATAAATCGACTTTTCAAATGGTTGTCCATGTACGCACCTTTCACCACGTTCCACCTTGTCTTCTTCTTTGGGGGTTCACCAATCTCATCCAAGGATTCATCACCTGAGAATCCGTTTACTCCGTTACAACCATTCGCCAATCCGTCATTTGGCATATGGAAACCTAATTGAGCCTGCAAATCTCCGCAATCATCTATCTCCATTAATGCAGTATGATTGTACTTCTTATCCAAAGCCCTCGTCAAACCCTTTATGTATTCATCGCAGTCTTCAATTCCATAGTTCAAAGTGAACGCCATGAAACTAAATTATATCTTATTATTTGTCTAAACCAAATCCCATTATAATTACCTCTTAAAATACAATTTATTGTACAATATTGGTCCACTAAAGAGACAAGCCTTCAGATTACCAATGTCTTCTATCTGCTCTTTCTCTATGTTCCTGAACTTGATACCAATACCCAGGAAATCATTGCATTCGATATCTCTCGTCTTCAAGAATCCCTTCAATATCTCGTTAATCCATAACGCTACTGAAACCCTGTTCACTGGTAGCTCATATTCATCTTCCAACAGCAAGCACATTTCCTTCATCAATGGTACAATGGAATTCTTTTCATGTAATAAAATTAATAACTTTGCTATATTTTTATATGATTCTCCAGATTTTCCAAAGGAATCTGTAAATAATTATATTAGAAAAACTTTTCTTTTCCTGTTTGTTAATGTTAACTGGATTTACCTATTTCTATTGGGTTAATGAAAAAGCAGTTGCTTTTTACTACATCTTTTATAACACAAGTCAAATCTGTAACTTTGGGTATCATTTTCTCAATTTCTTTCAATACCCTATCAACTGGGACTTTCTTGGTGCTGTCCATAGCAAACTCATCTAAATAATTTAAAATGTAGTCTGGCACATCCAAATCCTGACCATAGTAGTAACACAGATTGGCATATATATGGATTAACTTAGAAATGTTTGGGTCAAAACATCCATTAGCTATGTGATCATTGATGAGTAACAGATTTTGATGCCAGTAGGTTTCTTTTACCCAATTAAAACATTCATTTAAAGCTAATTTTAGCATGGAAGGTTTTGGTAGTTTGTGACTGTGGGCAAAGTTGTGCCTCATTTGGATTATAAAGTCTGGTATGTTACTCTGCTTCGCCACCTTTGTGAATGAATTAGTTGGAGCACGACTAGCCACACACACATTTAAAAATCTGCAATACAAAATTTAGACCTCAATTTTAATATTTAGTTTTTACATACCTCATAACACTTGAAGCACAGAGTTGACTGTACTGTCTCTCAGTAACAGTCTCTTCATTGATTAAGATTGCTTCAATCAAACATAAAGTTCCTTCTATTCCACTTGGTAATAAGTCTTGACGAGTTTTCCAAAGAGTTATAATATCCATAGCCTGCTGCAAGGCATCTCTTTGCTTATTTTTGTTGCAAAGCAGAGTATAAACATGTTTCCATTCAGAACTGAAAGAATAGATGAATTAAAGATTTGCCTTTATCTTAATGTATGTTTACAAATATTTACCTACTATACCAAGGAACTATAGTATATCCAGTATATCTAATAGACTTCGACATTTTACTTGTTACACGGTAGTTAATAAACAACACAATATTCACCAATTTACCACATGTTTTTCAACTGCTGTCTAAAACTCTAGGCAACCTTTGAAACCTAGTGTCAAATTATATTGACATTACTTAAACAATAATAAAATGTCTAAGCACAGTTTTTTACTTTCTAATTAATAAAATAAAATATTATAAAATTAATTAAATGGTTAAAATAATTATTTTCTTACGTAGTTATAAATATTACGTATACAATATGTTTATGATACATATGCAACTTCTTGTACTTCCTTGAAGTTCAAGAATTTCTTCACAGAGTCGCTACTAGTCACTATCATCAGTGGTCATCAAATTTTGACAAGAAATCTGTCAGTTCTTCAAAAATAGGTTATATTTTGAATAGTTTGTCAACATATGTTCTAAAGTTTTATTGGCGACATGGATGATTCGCATATTCCCATCGATATTAACACCACAAAACTGCTGGAATGGTTAGTTAGTAGAAGACACGTGAGTAAAGATTGGCAAGAGAACATTATAAAAATTCGTGAGAAGATCAATAATGCTATCCAAGATATGCCAGCTCATGATGGAATTATTAAACTGTTGTCTGGCCAACATATTAATTACTTCCACTGTTTGAAGATTATTACTATTCTAAAAGAAACTGAGGCAGATTCCAAGAACTTATTTGGAAGGTATGGATCTCAGCGCATGAAGGATTGGCAGGACATTGTGTCCTGTTATGAGGTAAACAATATCTATTTGGCTGAGGCAGCTCAGATTCTCATGAGGAATGTGGCTTATGAGGTGCCAAGCTTAAAGAAGAGAATAACTAAATTGGAACAGATGCAAGGGGAGAGTGATAAGAAGATTAAGGACTACACGAGGGCTGAAAATATGGCTCAAAATGAATTCAATGCTATATGCAAGCAGCTAGTCATTGATGGTAAAGATATTAGGAAAGAATTGGTGAATCTGGTAAATGATATACCAGAGATGAATAATAAGTTTATGAAGAATTTGTTATCTGTGGAGAAATTTATGAATGTTTGTATTGAGTTTTATGAAGCTTTCATCAACTTCCATTCTGGAAATGATAATTCTATACAAGCATTGCCCTTGTTGAAGTACCTTTTAACAAATGGAAATACCACCACATATGAGTACACTTATGGAGAGAAGCCAGTCAGTATTGAATTGCCTCAGTTAGAAATTGTTGATGAGTCTGAATCAAAGACAGATTCAATTGATTTTGGAGATGATATTGACTTTGGGGACAATGTGCAAATCGACTTCGGCGACATTAGTGTTCAAAATATTGATTTGAGTACGCCTATGAGCGAAGGGGATATAGATTGGGGAGCGGTGCCCACGGATGAGGAATTTGAAATCGTTGATATGGATGTCAATTTGGAAGAGTCAGGGATTGTTGTGGAAAAGTCTGGATTGGATGGTGGTGTCGCCAAGGGAAACGATGCATACACGATTCTTGATAATCCGAAGACAAGAGAGCAAGTGTTGAACGATTTGATGGAGTTGGCGGCATTTTTGAAGATTCGTTTGTATGAGATGTCCAGCAACTCTGATTTACTTCTGATGAACCAATTGGATGCTCCAGCAATATTGCAAATGCAGTCCCAAGAAAGTGTGACCGCTCTAAGTGACTATGTCGCTGTTGTCTTGAACGAGCTGATCAACAAACGTGCTCAGCAATTGCACAACATAAAACATTCCTCCAAGTATGTGGATATTCTGACAAATAGTTTGAAGCACAAACTGGAGATCGTGCAACGTATGCAAACCAGCAAGAATCTTCTAGAAGATAAAATCAAGGAGCATAAAGATGAAATTAGAGCGATCGAACCTGTGATTAAGAAGGTCATCGAGAAAACCAAGATACTCCAAAAGGAGATGCAGGAAGACCTGTCAAAGAAGTACAAGGGAAGAGTTGTAAATATAATCGGCGGTGTCAATACTATGTAATTAAATGAATTATGACGTTATAATATATTGTTTAATTGGATTAATAAAATAATTGTTTAAATAAATTTCATTCTTTGAATCACAAGAACTTACAATTAAATTATGTATACTCACCTTATTTTATTATATTTAGTATGTAATGAAAGGTTTGTGGAGAAATAATTAGAAACTAAATATTATTTTTTATCATTTTCTTCTTTGCAGTTTGTTTTTTTTTTCGATTTTGATTTATTTAACATTTATATACATTAATGTATTCTCGTTTTACCACATTCTTGCGTTTCCATCATATTAACTATGAACTAATCGGCCAAGATCTACTCGGCCTTTATATATTTTTTATTTATATATATATCTTTACAATAATTCTTTCTTTAACAAAAAAATATTAATTTCTCTCTCAATAAAACAATTACATATATATAATATAAATAACCTTTTGAAATGAGAACTAGAAATAGCGGCGAGCGAATTGCAAAAAAAATACTAAATTTAAGCTGAACATTTGCCATTTGAGATCCTGCTAAAACTTAAATTTATAGTCTTCTTAAAATATAAATAGTAATTGTTAAATTACGGGACAGTTTTATAATATATACATAATTTATAAATAAAAATTATACCTTAATTTTGTTTCATTTGTTTTGTTTTTTCGTTTAAAACGAAATAATTATTTTTTTTTACAATTCGCTCGACAGACTTAACTCTGTACAAGAAAGTTTCGAAACCCTGAATAACTGTATATTTTGCTCTTCCAGTTGTATTATGTGTATATATGTATTATATTTTAAAATTAATAAAGTGGATATTTCGGAATTTATATTTTGTTTTAGTATGGAAAGAGTGGGAGGAGGGACAATTACTAGAATCGAACACACATTCAGCATGTATCTTAATATTTTTGGAAAATTCTTAATATCCTACACCTCATTTTTTTTGTTACAATATAATATAAATTGGCAGTATTCGTGATTATATGTTTGTAATAACTGCGTTTTACTTCATGGGATTTAAGGGTTAGGGGTTTGTGAGTGCTTTCCTTGTTCAAATTCATTAGAGTGGGGGGATTAAAGCTTTTTTTCTTATCAATCTTCCTTTTTTTAATAACTACAGATATTTTTTGTCTAATATTTTTTTCCTTTCGTAGTATTTTTTTAATATAGCAATAAATAAAATATTTAAATTAATAAAATTGTAACAGTCTTCGAGTTCAAAACAAAAATAATTATAATTTTGTGTTTGTTTTAATGTGGTCACAACCTAAGTGTTTTGAGCACTTAACAATATATAATATTTATAAAATGTCCAATTTGGAAAATAAATAGGTTAAATTTTGTACAAAATTTAAATTAGAGAATGAGGATGGAGGAGAGGAGGGCGTTTCAAGTTCGGTGTTGTATGTACAATGTGAATGAATTGCCCCGAAGAAGATTCGGGAAATCCGAGGGAAATACCTTTTAAATATGTTTGTACAGAATCGAATGATATTTGGGTGTGTTGTTCTCCTGATCCGTTCGCTCTCTTCTCTTATTTTATTACCCATGGCTTAGGTTTACATGATGGAGTGTCGACCTCCGCAAGCGCCGCAACGAGTGCAGCACCAGTGGCAGAGCTTCAGAGGTGGATAGAACCAGAGACAAGGTACGAAGAGGGAAAGGAAAGTCAGGCAGGACCAGCGTTTGCAGCAGTTGTCGTCCGAACAATCGCATGGATGCTGGGCAAAGTCGCCCTCCTCATCAGACGCACAATGATAGCTTACGCACTTGGCGCAACCTATGCACGTTACAGTGTCTATGGCATTCTTCACTTTATCAGGGGCGTATTCGCAGGCGCCCTTAGGGTTCTGGTCCTCGGAGTACAACTCGTGGCAGTGCCGGCATCTAAGCTTGATCCTCTGGCCCTTCTCCAGCTTCACGGGGGGCTTTAGTGGCAGTGACGGGGGTAGCGAAGGTTGCTGCTGGATTACGGGCTGCTGAGTTTCGATCTCCAAGCCCTTCTTAAATTCTGTCGGGGATTCTCTACGCGTCCCAGGTTGCGCAGACTTTTGATCAGGATTTATGTAATCGTGAATCGTGGTCAGCTGAACGTACGAGTAGTTCTCTGCAAAAGAAAGCACCGTTTCCAAACTGACTACTAAGAGACAAACAAAATAGTTTCAGTGATTAAAAAAATACAAAATTAAAATTAATAACTTATTAAAATTTAAAAATCTAATTAATAAAGTGAATTAGCGTATATATGTCTTTGAATATTATTTTTAACTTAACGTTAGTTGAAAGAAATGCAGTTCACTTACTGTGCTAACTTTAATTTTTAATTAATTTATCATTATTATTCTATTATGGTCTAATATATATTTTAAGTAATTTCAATAAGTTACGTCACTGCAAAATTTAGCATAAATAAAGTAATTTTCTAATTTGTTTAAAAGACTTTATGCGAGCTTCATTTATCATTTCATGTATGATATTTCTATCGTTTAGCATTGTTTGCTCCGTAAGTGGTAATTACCTTTTTCCCCAGTTGGTTTCTGTGTATCGTAAATCGGCTGTCTAATCTCCACCGATCTGGGAGAAATGGCAGTGGCAAACTGGATGCGCCTCTGGTGGTCAGACTGTGTGCTGGAGTCGCTAGAGCTCCTGGAAGTCGGCGCTTCTTGTGGTAAATTCAATGTCTGTAAACAAACAAACATGAGCAAAATAAATAAAGAAAGTACAAACAAAAACTTAATAAGGTACAATTATTATTTAAAAAAAAAAACTAAATTTTGTACGGATGCGAGTGTATGCGTGCGACGATTTGACCCTGAGACTTTGCATATCCGGTGTTCAACGTTCAACAAGTTAAAAATCATGAGCACAAATTGAAAAAAAAGAGAGAAGTTATCGCACCGAAACGAGAGATTTTTGTGTACAAACTTACCATGAAAACATCATCGTCGCCAACATCTTTTTCATATTTGTATTGTAAGGCCGTGGGTTGTGGGTAGGTGTCCGCAAAACCTGTAAAATAGGAAAAGAAAGTTGAGTCCTAGAGTCACTACGATCCAAAGGTATAATTCATTTTCTAAGCTAAACTGCAAGCAACGTGGGAGTCCATCCACGCGCTACCTCCTGGTTGCATTTCAACATAGCGATATTTCAACCAAGAAGCCGCGATTGGACGGCGTTCCTTAAATAATCAAATCTCACCGTGTAGGAAATCCGTATTAAGGAAAGCATTGAAAAGAACACAAATAGAGCAAACGTTAATAAATATCTTTAAATGATTACACTACTTATAAGATGAGATTCTAACGTTCTGATTTAAATTGCTGCGTCGCTGATCACAACTTACCGTCAAGCAGTTCTTCGACGGCTGTGCGAAGGCCCTTGTCGAAGGCCCGCGCGTCTGCAGCCGTCTGAAAGGTGAGACCGAACTTCTTCTCCTCGGTTTTCCAGTGGTGGAACGTCGGCATGACCTTATTGTACTCGAAATCTTTCTTAATGGTGCAGCACAATACGGTGCTCTCGTCGCTGATTCTGCGACCGAAAATCAGATAGTCGTGCTTCTGCTTGGAGGATTCGGGACCTCCTCCTTGTGCGGGACGTGGCTTCTTCCTCACAGACACGTTGCTTAGTCCTCCTCCTGCTAATGGTACCCATCCTCCCGAGCTGTCATCTCGAGACATTACCTGTGCTCTGACTTGCACCAGGTAGTTTCCACTGAAAAACATAAAGAAAACAAACATTTTATTTCACTTTTCCTTTCCTTCCGTATGCAAAAATACATATACACATAAACAACAATGAGCAATTCGCCTCAATCATCCTCAATTTGTGAGAATTATTCTGACCTATTAATTAAGACACTTCAACAAATTAAGAAATTTAACTGGACACACACAGCCCCCTTTCTATATTTAAACGCTTCTTTTCACAAGTTTCTTTCTTATTTTATGCTACAACTTATACACACTTACTCTTCAAATTTACAGCACATACATCAGACCAATCCAATTTTTGTTTAATTCAAACTAGAACTGTAATTATCCAAATGTAATTCACATTTACCATTATTTTTATGATTGTTAAATTAATTTGTTTTCCGGATTCTAGTCAACAAAATGTTTTTGAAAACATATTGAAACGAGTAAACTAAACAGTACTAATTACGTGTACATTATATTTTAAAAATAATAATAATAGCTTAAAAAAGTAGGGTATTTTAATTCATCGTTTTTCGTGTAATAAATTGGGTTAAAAAGCGCGGAGAGAAGTTTCGGATTCGCGCAACAGGTTTTCCTTCCTCCCTTCAACACACGTAGCTCGTTTCTTCCTGCGTCCGTCTTGAATTATTGTCTAATAAACTGAACAAAAAGAAACTCTCCATCCGTGAACGAAAACGAGAATAACAAGCGTCCGCATAAAAATAGTCGAAAATCATTAGTTCGAAGAGGAGAAACGAAAAACCCATTATTATTTTTATTGGCCTCGCATCCTTCCTCCTTCCTTTTGTTTTGCTTTTTGGGTCGCACCACCCTTTCCTAGCTGGTCGAGTTTCAGCGAGAAACAAAACTATAAAATAAACAACAAAACAAAACAAAAATGCGAAGAAGCAGAGAGAAAGGAACGTTTTCCGCTGAAGTTGACATTTCACAGATGAAAGATTTTTCCCATTTGTGCCGTCACCTTTTGTGCCCGTACCCTGGGACGTCACGAAAGTGTATATTCCAACCGCAGGATCGATTTTCACGGCACAAAAGGCGGTAATAATTGAATGAAAAAACAAACTAAATAAATACGGCCAGTCTAGTTTGGTTATACTAAAAATAACGCGAACAGATTGTGAAATCACGTCAAACATTGGAAATTGATTCGTTACTCTTCTCTTCATTGCGATAACAAGTTGAGCAATGATGAGAGAAGACGTATTGGCAATCCGTACTCTTTGTAATTTGTAATACCTATTAAAGCGATATATTTGTGAGTTGAATTCATGTTATGGTAATCTTTTCTCTTTATATGTTACAATGTATAGTAAAATGTCAAACTACATGAAAATAACGCTAATGAATAACATAAATAATTTTAAGAATTTTGGTAAGTTTTCAAGATACACTAAGTTAACCATGAAAATTATTGAAGAATCTTAATTGTAATATATATTTTTTGATATTTAGTTATTTTTAGCAGTTGCACAATTAGCATTATATTCTGCGGATGACTACTTCAACACTACAAAAACGTTGTTTTATATAAGAAATGAGAATGCGACGTTTCCCTCGGGGTCAAGTTTTGTTGCGCAATCACTATTCCACTTTTTATTCTGCGTTGATTTCCACGCTTACTTCAACTCTAAAAAAATGTTAACGTGCACCTAAACGCATCGTAAAACCGTAATTCTATATGCGCAGACAGAATTGTCTTTGCAACAGAAAACAAGAAGTGTAAAACTTGTTTCTTTATAATTCACGTGAAAGGATAAAATTCAAATTACAAGTTTAGTTATTTTTTTAGATAAATCGTTGCAAAGATATCTAATATAGAATAGTAACACTTAACAACAGATTATATTGAAATACCACAAAATGAAATAACTGAACATTAATATGAAATTATCATATTATAAAGAAAGTTTGAAATTGCGATAGTTATATATTTCTATAAATATAGCGTACATATATCCAATAATAGTTGTATTATGGAAAATACCATTGACAAAACAATTGTTTATGATAATTGGTGAGAATAATAGATAGACGCTAATACATGATAATGCGGGTGTATGTACGATGGAAGCCGTCGCGGAAATCGCGGCGCTTTTGAAAAAGAGCACGACAGGAAATTCGTCCCTGTTTAAATGAATGTAATTTCAACGAAGCCGCTTTTCGTATTGCGAATTCCTAAGTAGATTTTCCGTATGGCTCGTGTATCGCGTGCGTAGATCTTTTCTCAAACACAGGAAATCCCCCTTATGTTGTTATGTATACAAACTGCCTCGACGAATTATAAAAGTTTTTCCTGTCAGGAACGGTTTTCTATTTTAAACGACATGATCATTAAGAAGCAAAGACAAAGCAACTGGAAGAAAAAACAAATTTCAGCTTCAATATTTTGTTTATAAAATTATATGTAAATGTTTTTTTTTTGTTTTCTGGGTCGCCCCATTTGGAAAACCCTGGTTTATTTTTCGCGCATTCATTTGTTTGTTAATCGGATTGATGGATGGATGGATGTGCGAGGGGTTGACGCGAGTGGAAGATCTGATATTTCAATTAAAATTTCCGCTTTAATGTAACTTTATTAAAGGGCCGAGGCCCTCCACTAAATCCACGCCAACCCCCCGCGCGCGCTCCCGCAGTCGTTCCGGGAACGCATTTCATTGACGTCATCGTTCGAGAGCTGCGCCGCCGCCCCCGATCCACCATCCGAATGTGTGCCAGTCCTATGCGTTGCACGTGAACCGGGATGTAGGTAACTGGGTAAAAGTTCATCGCCCTTCATCATCTCGCCCGTCCGCTATCTCCGCTCGCGCGACGGATAAACTCGCGCCCTTTTTTCCCGCATCCGCACATTTTTACTTTATTTTATTTCTCTTCTTTTTTTCTTGCTTCTTACAACTCGCTCGCTCATTATAAAGAGTATGTTAGTCTACACTCCTTCCCGACTCGCACTTTAAAAATATTTTTTAAATTTATATTTAAAACATCTCTACACATTTAAATAGTTTGAGTTTGTTTGAAGAAAATACATTTATAATATAATTGCAATTACTCGTAATATTTTGCACAAAAATATATAGTCATTTAACACGGTATTTGTATAACACGGTTTTGCTCAAACACGCAACGCAACTTAGAGTATATTCATATATTGTGGAAGTCACAATTCATTGCTAATGGGCCTAACTCAACATATCAGATGTGGTTTACTAAACACCGAGAGTATTTTTAGCAAAGACGTATTCCAAAAGTGTCAATCTAAATTTCAAGAGTTTTGTGTCAAATTTTCACTAATCAATAGAAGTATAGTAAATCTATTTAATAGTTTTGTTAAAAGTTATATAAGATTTATTCAACAACCAGCAAGAATCTAAGATGTTAATCTTTATATTTGATACGATTCATTAATAAGCCTCGATACACTATAGCAGGGGTCCCCAACTTTTTGCACCCAAGAGCACATTCTAGAATGTGTTGGATATAGTTATAGTTGGATATAGTCAAAAACAAACTAATTCCACACGGCGGCGGGCGCCATGGTGCCCGCTGGCATAGGTTTGGGGACCACTGCACTAGTCAATTTTAAAAATTAGTAAATATTTTTAGCAAAACAAAAATAAAATCTAAAAAATAGTACATTCAAGTCAAGTAACTTTTCCGTTTCTATTAGTACGAGATATTGCGGAATCGATTCACATGTTATTAAAGTAACTACGTTTTGCCTCTGTGCACATTTAAATAATATATTAAAAGCCAGTAGAAGTTAAATAATTACCATCGAATCTTTCTAAATATTACAAAAAATATAAATCAGAAAGCCCTTTTGGCCTAAAACAAGTCTACTCTTTTTAGAGCATACAAAATATAGCTGATATGCAACTTGTATAATATTCGACCTCTATTTTTAAAGCGCGTGCGAATTGTATTGACAACAGCTGTTAAATATTTAACAATCTGTTCTTGGAAATATGATACCTTCGTTGCTTATAAATTAAGATAATTTCACACTGCTCAATAATGATAATTAATGTAATCTATATAAATACATTTGGCGTCATTCTATTGATTGATTTTATAAATATTAATTTAATTCATTTTTGAATAAATTTAATAAATCAAGATAATTTAATTCCATATAACATTACTTGAAATAAATGTGAGACATAAGAAATAGTTTTAAAAACATAGTTAAAATGTGTAAATGTTAATGTATAATAGAAGATTCTTACTATATCAACAGGTTGGGACTTGTCATCTTGAACTAACTATTACTATTGAAGAACACACGAATGTGCAAGAGAAAAGTGAAGAGGCAGGTATCAAAACTTTTCACTCTAAAGCATATTTCAACGAAAAAAGCAATAAAAAATTTGACAAGAGAGGAGGACAGCAAGATTTAAAAGTACTTAACGGGAAAATCTTAAAGAATAGACGTACATTTCTACAGCAAGGTTCTACCTCCAAAGGACAATAAAACTTGAGGGTGGCGAATTGAGGGTGGTTCGTGTCTTGAAAGATTCAATGAGTGGAGGGAGGCATGTTGATGCATGAAAGACTCGCTTAACATCAAAGAAAGTTTTGAAATACGAATTGTTAAATTTCCTTTTTAAATGTTATATATAAATTTAAAGTATTTAAATGTAATATACACATTAAATAAGATAATAAATATTCTCATTTACTTTTTTCCTTATTTAGTTTTAAAAAAAAGATTCCTATTGCTACTATTAATTCCTTTAAATTCTCGTATTATTTTCAATGGATGAAGTATTTTCATAATGACGCCCTTATGAAAATACATCGACATCCAGAATTGACAGGCCATTCATTTTTTACCTGTCCACAGGAGCTTTACGGATATCAGAATTTGTACCTGAACATTCGTTATAGAAGAAATTCACAATGAATTTCGAAGAAAAGGGAAAAACACTTTCATTAAAAATATTTATGTTCGAATGTTTTTATTGAAAGGTGCCGTATGATAAATGTAGAAAATGCGCG